ACAGAATGTCCCAAAACGAGTTAACGTCGGACGCAAATTCTAATTAAGCATAAAATACTATTAAAATATAACATACGTTTAAAATAATTTTTAAGTTTTTTAAAATCCGTTCGGAGAGGGGGGCTTATAGCCTACTAAGCCCTTTCTATATATGCCACTGGTTTTGTTATTTGACTTGCCATTTTCTTTTCAACTAAATTTTTCAAGTTGAGAATTGATCCAAGAAGTTCATTTTCATTATACAAACATTTCTAATCATTTTATTTAATGGAGGGCATTTTTATACGTTTTAATATCATTACCGTGCATTATCAGTTTCGTCTTCGGAACCGGATCGTTCAATGTCTATTGAAGTACAATTTATAATACATATATATATGTATGTAATATTAATAATACTATTATGACACTTATCGATAAAATAAACTTATTGCAACGAAATAATCTATATAATTGACTTGATTTATTCATTGACAGATAATTTTAAAATATATGTACAAATTTCCATGATATACAGGTACATGACAAAATATCGTTTCCATTTCCACGTTAAACGGGTTCCATCTTATTCAGGGAACGATGTATTTAAAAATATATTAGGTTTGCCGGGACCGTAACATTTTTCCATAAAAGTCAGGTTTCCACGTTATTCAGGTTCTATATTACACAGATTTTACTGTAAAATAAATAACTAGCATTAATATTTGTATAAGAAAAAATTTCAATGTTTCACGTTTTTGTTAAATATTGCATGCTTTAAACACTAAACAAGAGTCGTAAATTGTAGATTAATCAGTGTTATATTTTAACTATGAGCTATACAATTGTCTTGTCATATATTGTAATTGTTGAGTTATCGTAGTTTTATATTGGTAAAATAAAAAAATAAATCTCAACTATGATAATATTCATGAATTCTTATTTCTTATCTTAAAATCTTTTAAAGCTTAGGAAATTTAATTGTAATTATTCTAAAAAAAAAAAGCATCTGAGGAGGGATATATCCCCATATCCCCCTTCCATAATTACTCCACTGTTATCAATCAATTTCCAATGTCGAAATTTATGTAAATTATATTGATTGTTGTGGGAGGCAATTCGAATATGGTAAAATAGGGGCTCTTGAATTGCCTCCAAAATATCCGGAGGAAATTCGAATGACAAAAAGTAATCTAAACAGTTTTGGAAGGCAATTCGTGTGCATCGAGCTTTTCAAACCGGCCCATCAAATTTACTGATATTTTGTCAATATTATTCCAAACCCGAGAAAAATGTGCACGTGAAACGATTTCAATAATAAACTCCATTTACTTATGTGAATAGATGTTTTCAAAAATGAAATACTTAAAATATTAATATAGAAATTACTTAATTTTTACAAGCAACGCTGTTGGTTGGATCAATAAAGTTTAATGTACACTATCTAAAATTTTTTAAATACAATAAATTCCAAACTTCTCATTTTGTAACTTACTCGTATCTCAATAAAACAAATTTTAAATCATGTTAATAAATACACATTTTTCTAAAATCTAAATTAATCGTTATTAAATGCTTAATAATATTACGTAAGTTTCATTGTTTTTTCGTTAACTTTATTCTTACACTTATCAGTGGCGTACATACGGAGGGGGGGGGAGGTCAAACCCCCCCAGGGCCAAAAAAAAAGAAAAAAGAAAATTATCAAATTATTGATGACGTGTAGTATATTCGTAATTTCATTATTATGCATTGACTTAAAATATACAACTATACAAATATAATGATAATTAAATAATTATATTGATAGGAGTTTGAAAAGTTTTGTTAACTATGCTGTTTTTATATTCCAATAGCTATTAATTTACTGTAATGTTAAAGTAAACTGCAAATTGGTAAAAATGTTGTATAAAATAATAACTATTTATAGCAGTTATTTATCTTATTTTTCTGTGTAACAAAAAAAAAAAGATAACGATTATTTTTGTTAAACCCCCTTCCCCTCAGAGCTAGATTGAATGTACGCCACTGACACTTATAAATACAAAAATAATAATAATAAATTAACATTTATAAACACTAAAAAAATCTATCATATAACAATTTTTTTAAGAAACACTCGTAGGTTGAACTTATAACATTCTAATTTTTGCAACAAGAAAATGAATAAAATATTTAAGAATGTAGTACGTTTCAAGTACCTATAATCTGCACACATTTTATAAAAATATTTTGAAACTACAAAATGTCTTGATAAAACGTATATCGTTTAATTCGATTTAATCAAATTTCCTTTTTTTTTTTAAAAAAAAAGCTTACAAATAATCATTGTGATATTCCAATATTTTAATTATTTTTTTCGCTACAAAAAAACTTGTAAGAAAATGCTTGTATTCAATGTTCAGCCGTAAGTGTTAAAATTTAAAATAATGAACTTTTGACCACAAAAATATAGCAGATTTTATGTGTTTTATCGTTTAATCAAAATGTAATATTTTAACTTTCGTAATAATATTTATTCAAGGTATCGAGATTTTTGAGTTATCAAGATTAGAGTTACCAAGATCCCATTGTATTCAGATAACTGTTGGATAGTCTTGATAAAACCAATTATTTCACTCAGAACCTTAAATTCAAACTTGCATTTGAATATTACTTAACCTTCGAGTAAAACATCGTATAAAAAAAATCAAATCAAATCATCAAATTTAATACCAATTCATGTTACAAAAATCCACTCGTAGCAAAACCGCTATTTAACAATTTAAATTATAATCTAATTTTTCAATGTAATAAATGTTTTTTGGAAATACTTTTTAATAATTTCATTATACTATGAATTTTTATTTGAATCATTATGATGTATAGATTTTAATCAATAAATAAAAGCAATAAAACTTTTAAGCATAAAATTTTATTACGTCTGATATAAAAAATAAATAATATTCATAAAAATTAGTAATCAAATGTCTATACACTAGAATTTTAAATTAAAAAAAAAAAAAACCAAAGGCTGTATTTGTTTTATAGAATATTAAATGAAAAAAAAATCAATTCTGAAAATAGAATATTAGTTTAATATTATATAAGTTCATTGGTTGAACTCACATTTTATTTGCATAGCAAACAATAATATTTATGAAATAATGAATTTATTATTTATAAATATTTCGTTAGAAATCAATGGTAATATTTTAAATACAATTATTATTATTATTTATTTATACATATATATATATATATATATATATATATATATATAAAAATGGAGCAAAAAATGTTTAACATTTCATCAATTGAGAACGACTGGGCCGATTTGGCTTAATTTTTTTTAATTATTCATAATTGCCAAGAGAAGATTTTTACGAAAAAAAATGTTGGAAAAGTGCTATTGTTTAATAAATCGTAGTTTAATTTAATAAATTTTGACCAGTTCGAAAACTGTACAGTTGAAAATGAATTATTAAATGCAATTATTAAAAAACTATTATAAAAACTATTAATAACTATTTAATAACTATAAATTTTATACTTGGTATTAAATAACGGGTATTGCATAAATATTAAACAACAAAATCCCGCAACATATGCCAAAACAAACCAGAATGTTAGTTCGAAGGATTATTATACATATCGGTTGATGATTACACGCGATTAGGACAACGTTATTCTACAATGTCGTGAATTTTATCAACAATTCATGGTCGACATGTATGTAAAGATAGAGAACGAACGATTTCGATACTTGAGGTTCAATCAAAAAAAGCTGCGTGCGGAAGATTCTCAAAACAATTATTAGATATCGGCGATGCATTCCATTCAACTTTCCCATGGGAAAGTTACTATAGATGAAACGGGATGCATAAATTACCGACTGATTTTTGCACAATCATTGATTCGCAAGATGCTCTCATTGACTAGATATTTCCTAATGAACACAGATAATACACAAATCGTGAGTGGTTGGCAGAAAGAGTAATTTTAACAGCAAAAAATGTGGACATTAATGAATTGTATCTCAACATTTGTTATCAGGATAGTTGGTATCATACAAATCTATAGATAGTTTGCGATGCTATTGAAGCTGTAAATTGTCCAACAGTTTTTAAATTAATTGGATTTACCAGGCAAACCACCGCATAATTTACAACTGAAGGTTGGATCTCCGGTTATTTTGCTTCGCAATTTGAACGCACCACAGTTGTGCAATGGTACGCGATTAATCATTAAAAAATTAATAAAAATGTTATCGAAGTCATCATTTTAAATGGTAAATTCCGAGGTGAAAATATTATTACCACGAATTTCTATTATACCACAGATGTGCCAATACAATTTAAACGCCTTCAATTTCCACATAGATTGGCATTTGCAATGACTATCAATAAGTCTCAAGTCCAAACGATGTCTGTCTGTGGCTAAGATTTGAGCACATCATGTTTTTTACAATTATACGTGGCGTACTCTTAAACCATCCACTTTGTTTGTGTTGGCGAAAGATGGGAAAAAAATATTTTACACTCTGTTGCATTAAGGGATTGATATTATTTTTTACTAATATTGACATAATTAGCTATATATATATATATATATTTTAAAGGATCAATTTTAATAAATTATTAAAAAAATAAATGTTTGATGTTTTTTCATTTTTATATTCCGTCACTGTTCATAGCACTCCATACCTTTTCCACTTATATACCACATCCTTACCCACCTATATTATATTAGTTTTTTTTCTAGCAAAATATTCTCTAGAAAAAATTTATATGACAAAACAACGTTTGTCGGATCAGCTAGTATATATATATAAAAAATTACTGGGCCTCACTGAGTAACATCATGTGGAGGCTAGGAATTATAACATAAAACAAATTCAATATTTATGACCAGGGTGGTGAATTTAATGTAGTTAAATACATTTAAAATTTCACTAATTTTAGAATAACATGCACTTAAAATAGTTATTAATTCAATTTGTATACTTATATTTATTATATTAATATATTGTATATATAAAAATGTATTTATTTTATTAAAAAGAAAATATAAAATGTTGATCGAATTTGAATTTTGATTCGGAACTTGATTGATTCTACTCATCTGAAAAATCTTTAAAAAAATTTTATTTATGTTAAATTTTATTTATTGTTAAAAAAAAAAATAATTAATTTTTTTGTACCTTATTCGTCTTGACTATTGCAATGGACAACAAGTACTCGTTTGGTGTTAACAAATAAAAATGATTGTCGATTGTTTGTCAACAAATTTTTGTATGCTGAAAAACTCCTTTCAAAATTTATAAATATAATGGAGCATATTGCATGAATGCTATGTCATTGAAGCTAAGGTCATCTGGGAGATAAGTTCTGGACATTTCAGTTCCATCGAATATTTTCGAAATAATGCATATTGCATCAAATCCAGTATTTTTTCATAAGATTGATAATATATAAATTTAACGTACAAACAACCTGTGTAAAAAAAAAATAAAAAAAATATTAATTTAAAGATTTTAATTGAGGAATTTGATTAAAAATACCGGACAATTAACTAAAAAGGAAGATTAACCTAAAAAGGCAAAATAATTACTTAAAAAATTAAAAACTTTTAAAAAAACACAAAAAAAAAATGCAATATAAAAATGTCGTAAATGAATTTGTTGTTATATATAGTAGACGCTGCTTATAAGACTCACTTCATGACCAGCACAAAGTGAGTCTTATAACTGAATGAATCATATAGGCGAAGTGGGAAAAAAAATTAATTATGTATTTATAAATTTTATTTTACTACATATTTTGCTTTTATTTTAATACTTTAACACATATTACATATTACATACTTATTATAGAATAAATTTAATAATCCTGATAAAAAAAAAAAAAAAAAAACTAAAATTATAAAAGGTAAATATTACTTACATTTAAAAATACATATTATAAAAATAATTTTCGAAAAATATTTCGTGTAAAAAAATGTACCGTTGACTGCAATGTAACTGCGTATAAACATATGCATGTGTGCGTATGTGTATTTATGTACCCGTAATTATGATAACTGTGCAGCCACCAGATACCTCACTATAATAACGATAATCATTGCGATAAATTTTTCTGCGATTAAAAATATTATACGTTATAAGGTACCATCAGAAACTAAAAATAATCAACACGAACATGGGTGTAGCGAGGGTGGCGCAGGGAGGGCACTTGCCCATCCCTGCGCCACAAATTGAATTATATTTGTTTATACTAAACGTATAAACGTAAGTTTTACATTAAAATCAAAAATTAAATAAGATATAATTCTAAAAATAATTTAGTGGGACCGAGTGATATCTACACGTGTAATCGTTATGACGTTTTATGAGTTATCCAATGGTCTATCTGTAGATTATTTGAATTACGAGTTTAACACTAATCGTTTTATGTTTTTGCCCCTCCCTGATTCAAATTTTAGCTACGCCCATGAACACGAATATTATTTAATTTTCCAATATCAATATATTTCTAAATTATAACCAAAAAAGTTTATTTTCTACTATTTATTTTACGAAATTTTAATCTTATAACCGATTTTTTTTTTTTTTTAATGTATTTGGATACGTCCGGACCGTTCCAAACGATTTTGAGTCTAATAAGCGACTGAACTTAATATCCGTGAGTCTTATAAGCGGCGTATACTGTAATTCAAATTATGACAAATTAAATTTGATTATTAAATTAAATAAAAAATATAAAAAATCAAATTAAATTAAATATCAAATGATTTATGGAAAGCTATCTTTCACAATCAATCAAAAAATAAAAGGAAATGCACTTTCCTACTAATGTACAGATCTATTTTTGAAATTGGTTGTACAATTTAAAGCAAAAGTGTCTATGTAGTTTAATATTAAATTAATCACTTTTATACCGATACATGTAAATTATTTGTGTGAACCTGTTTTTTGAGGCCAATAGATTGTGTAATTATTTTTAACGTAACTCCATAGGCTTATTGGCGCACATATAAGGGTGCCAGGGGGTGCTTAGAACCACAAGTTCTAAATTAGTACCGCCAGTTTTTTTCGAGGTAATCATAAAAATAATACTTAAATTCTCATAAATATTCTTAAATCGTAAATATTGAATGATAGATATATCGAGTGTCACAACAAGTATTAGAAACAATACTAGAAATAATTTAATACTTATTTTTTTTTTTTAATACTCTTGACCAAACTCCTGTTGTAAAATGTAATGTATAAACTATAGTCCCAAATAATATTTAATAGATATTAGTTTAATAAATAAAATATAATTTTAAAATTCTTCTGATACAAATAATGATACTAAATCAATAAAAATTCCATTATAATGCAGTTAGATTAAATATTAAAAATTAAAGGTAACTACAATTAGTAGATAAATAATTTAGAATAATTAAGAGTTTATTTTTTTTATCTGAGCTTTTAGTAAACTATTAAGCTTGACAATTAAACATAAATAAAATATACATAATACATTTAAAATAAATAGTTACTAATTTTTAAATACGAAATCCAACCTCATGGATGAAAGATAATAAGAGTAATAACGGATACAGAGTTTGAATTAAGGATGTCATGAATATTGAAAGGAATATTGAGGGACTTCAGAGAATTAAATAGAACAAGACGTTTGGAGGATATGAAAGGACAATCAAAAAGAATATGATTTAAATCGAAAATACTTTCATCTAGATGGAACGTACAGATGGGGGAATCATTAAGATTTAGTTTATAAGCATGGGATAGTAGGAGATGATGGTCACTACAAAGACGGTTAAATTATATAATGAGGGGTCTGGATAAAGTAAGATCTTTTTTAATTTAAAAGAATGAATTTTTAATTTCAATATACAATAACAGAATTTCAAGATTATTATTTAGATTTAAAAATGACAATCTTTTAAATAAAATATATTTTAAATGAAAAACAATTATTGAAATAATTATACTATTAAAAACGTATAATTGGAATAATTTAATATGTAACAAATGGTGTTTCATATTTATATATAATTATTAAAAGCTTTAGTTAATATACTCTTTATAAAAATATACTTAAAAATCTAATTACAATATAATAATGTAAGTATAAAAATGGTTTAGCGATATGAAATGAGCAAGATCATTGGTATTTGTGGCCTATAATGTTACAATTGACAACAATAATTTTTTAAGAAAATTATGTAAGAAGTGTAATAACAAATAGTAATAATTACAAAACAGTCTCAGAACTACGAAAGGTTCAATATTCAAATTTATACTATATACACAATGAAATAAATTAAGTTAGAAACTATTTGCAAGGCTCAAAAATAATTTAAACAAATTATATCATAAAGTATGTGATCATGCCCTGAAAGCCTTTAATATGATACTCATGACAATGGAGTAAAATCCAGAAACAGATAGTGTAAAATATTTCATTAAAATATACAATGAAATACTTTAAAAATTTTAAAATATTTCATTATTAAACATTATTTAATAATGTTGAATAAAAATTGAAATTATCTTATTAAGTTATCACATGACTATAATTTATTGACTCTATAATCTGTAATAAAGAAATTATAGTTCTTTGATCTTACATAAACAGTAGGTAATTTTATAATGATAGTAAGTTAATTTTTTCTTTGTTGAATTGAAGCTTAATTATTACTTATTTCTTTTATAGTTCAATTGACATAAGTTAATGAACAATATTACCAATATTATTAAAGAAAAATTAGGACTTATATCAGATTATTAAGACTTCAAATTCCTAAAATAAAAAGTTTATCTACTTATTTTTAAATAAATTTTGGCAATGTTGCGGATATAAAATACTCACAAATTAACTTTTAATCAAACACTTATGGATAAAAATCTCTGAATAGTCGGTAATTTTATATTATTATTTAATAAAATTGAATAATTATTATAAGTAGGTAATTAGAAAATGTATCTATAAACTCTAGTCAAGGTTATTTTTAACTTAAAAAATATTCAAAAACTGTTTTAATATTGCACTTTAGTACAATTGATAGAAAAAAAGTTAAGTTATAATATAAGAAATTATTCAGAAATAATCATGTTTGAAAAATAAAAAGGAAACTTAAATAATTTATATAATTTAAATATTAATAATAATTTTAATTTTTACTAGTACTAATACTGCATATTGTTTAATAGGTGCAAATAATAAAATATTATTAATAAATTAAGAGATAGGTATCTATAATATCAATTATTTATCATAACATACAAAATTTAATGCTACAACATTCAATTCAATTAATTTACAAATTACACCAAAACAAACATGACTATTGTACAATTTAATACAATTATTCATTGCATATAAATTCTTAACATTTTAATATCAAATTTTCTTCAAATTTAAAAAAAAAATAAGAATTAAAGTAAAATATTTAATCAAAACATAAATAAAATAAATAAATATATACACTTATTGGAAATTAGTGTAGCATATAAAATGTACATAATTTTTTAAAACTTAATATTTACAATTTTGTATATCAATATAAATATTTTTAATAAATAAATAACTACTTTATAAAAAAATGTTAATAAAAATACTATTTAGATTCCATTGTAAAATTGATTTAGTAGTTTTAAAATTGTTTTAATTGTTATTGCACATTGTTCCTAAAAGGATAAGTTTGTTAACCATTTGTATTTTATGTCTCATATAATCACAGATATATAAACTAAAGTTAGTTTATTTATCTGTAAATATGATTTTGGAAAGCATATTTTTATTTATAATTTATTGTTTATTTCTATTTTAATTAAAAATATATAATTTTATCTAACTAATACATTTAAGAGGATATACAGTAGAGTCTCGCTGATCCGGATTAAATGGAATGGCTTTTTCTCAACTTCCTAATAAATATTAATTTTGTTTTAAAAAAATAACACCTTATTTATAAAAATTCAAAATGTATTGATTTATTTTACATTATACATGTATTATATTAATACAATTGTATAGAAAATTAAAGAAATTACATAAGACTTTGAATTTATTTGAAAAATTCTGTGATATTCTATTATATTGTTATAGAGGTACAATTATGCTATAAATATATATGTACATACATATAAACCCCAAGAATATATATATTAATTACGTATCAATAATATAAGTCTTATAGAAAATAACAATTAAAATTAACATAAATTGTTTTTATGTAATATTTATATGTATGTATATATATATATATATATATATATATATATACACACACACATATACATATACATATATATATATATTACATATACATATAAATATACATATATACATACATATAAATATTACATAAAAACAATTTATGTTAATTTTAATTGTTATTTTCTATAAGACTTATATTATTGATACGTAATTAATATATATATTCTTGGGGTTTATATGTATGTACATATATATTTATAGCATAATTGTACCTCTATAACAATATAATAGAATATCACAGAATTTTTCATATATATATATCCAGATCAGCGAGACTACTGTAAACACAATATTTGATAACTGTTGCATTCTTCAATTTCATAAAAACCTATTTAATATATTTATAAATGATTGAAGTCCACATAAGTAAATATACCAAAGTATTTATATTAAAAATAATCTGTCACTAGACCAATACTTCCAAAAAATATAATATTTGTTATTTGTCTTATTTTCATAATCTCACTATAAAATGAGAAATGAAAAGCAATGTTAATGGTAAATTTCTCAGTAAATACGATAACCAGAAATAACAAATATTATGCTGAAATCCTATATAATTAACAGTATATTTAAATATTTTATTGAAATTACCGATAACTGTAAGTATTCTTACCAATTGACATTGTTATTTTTCGTACCAGAAGTAAAATGTCATTAAATTATAAATTAATGATAAATACTGAACGATAATAATAGTTCATGAATCATGCCGCAGCAGAGAGACATTAACAGCATAAATTTTTAACTATCGATTGGTTGCAATTATTTGTTATCCATCCAACTGATTACCTAAAATACAAATTATGTACAAAAAAATATACATATTTAGTAATTAATTTATAAGATTTTGCAAATCACCATTCATAAAAGTTTAATAATACCTGGCAAATAAAATAATTATTTAACACATTTGAAATGACAACAGCAAAAATGAACACAATTTTCATTACGCTCAAATATACATACTCTACATATTTCAAAATATTTATACTTTTTTTTTTAATCCTATTTTTTCTTTTTTCTCAAGTATCGTTTTATAAAGCTTTTGTATAATAATAAAAATTATACTATTTTTATTTAATACATCCATATCTTTGATCTTTATTACATATTAACATTTACATTTTTAATATAATAATAGAATTGTGTTGACCTAAATTATGCACACCATAGTTGTAACTATCAATTCTGTTTTAGTTTTCAATATTATTATAAAATTAACATTGAAAAATTTTTTCAAAAAGAAAACAAAATAGATTTTTTAAATAAAATTTGTTTATGAATTCATAATTTATTTTAATTATTAATATTTGTTTTGAATAATTTTAAAAGTTTAAAAAATATTAACACAAATACTTTTATATTAAACATATGAAAATTATGTACATGACTTAAAATTGGAAAATACTTTTATTTCTTTTTAGGTTTGGGCTTTAGTACTGATCCGGAACCTCCAAATGCTTTAAATCCATCTTTATTTTCATTCTGAAACATTAAATACACTTTGTATTATCAAGATTTAAATCATATCTGTAAAAATAGCAAGTTTGTACCGATTCTAAAACAGGAATGTGATAAAAAATGATTGTAATGTATAACAATTCAAAATGCTAGAATAAATTAAGTTATAAAAACAATTACCTCTTGATTATTAGTTACAGGTCGAATATTTCTTATGAATTGTATAGTTCCCACAGTATAATTATAATCAGGAATACCTCTTTGATAGGCTACTTTTACTTGATTTGACTCATCATCAACATTATTTTTTTTCTTTTTACCATCCAATCTGTTGCCTGAACCTTTAAATGCCATAAAACCAGTGGGTTCGGGCATTAAATCAGCAGGATCAACCATCATTTCTTCATCAGTGTCTTTTTTTCCATGATCAGGTTCCTTATAACCAACCGGTGGAGCAAAGTCAACATTCATATCACACTCAATAATACTAACAGCATCACCAGGTTCAGTTTTCAAGACACGCATTTCATAAATTTTTTGATTATACTTAATGGCTATGATATCGCCAGTAGTAAGACAAGCAAAATTACGTAAGCAATTTTCTAAAACCGCTTTTGGATTAGTAATGTCGAGGAATTCAGAATTTTGAGGTTGGAACTTTGAAAATGTGGCAACATCTAATGAAACACTTTCAACTTGAACTAAATCCCCTTCATCTAGTAATATATTTTTCATCATCTAAAAAAAAAAAAAAAAAAATCATACAATATATATGTTTTAGTTGTAGTTAAAATTCAAAAAATAATACATACCCAATATGGAATGTATACTTTGTCTTCATCTGCAATAAACTCCAACACTCCACAATGGGTTACTTTATTTTTTTTCTTATTGGTAAGCCTGAACAACATGGGGTAATTGATATTCAATCGTGTCAACGTGTCTAAAGCCGAAGGTGGCATTATAACTAAAACAATCATACAAATTAATTATAACAAAAGCATGAAAGCCATATGAAACAAAGTGGCATTACTTTTTCCACCGCGTTCTACGTCTTCCCGTTCAGTGCCTGGAAGCATAGACACTGACCAACATCTGTACGACATGATGAATGGTCGGAGCATTTCACTGAACATGCTTAAGGAAAACTGAAACATAACGAGTGTTGTTAGTGAAATCCTAAGATTACGAACCGGAATCGCGTTCCTCGCGATACTTACCATCGCGTAACAGTGATTTAAACGTAGGTCGAGTATAACGAAATAGGAACGTTTAAAATGCGCTTGAGACGCGAACAGGACAATGTTGATTTATAAACACAGGTACATCTATGTGAAATGAATCAATACAGTGAACATACCATAAGAGCGCAATCGCGCATTTGATGACAGCGATGTGCGCGCAAACAGCGGAATGTAATCGATTGGGGATAATTTCTGACCGACTCAACAATAAAAACACTGCGCTGCGCCGAGAACACGATCGAGTACTTATCAAAAACGACGGTTTTGCATTATCATCGCGTTGCGTCGGGTCCGCGAGTGGTGTGTACGGTTCGCCTATGTGCGCGTGCGGTGTTGCCATGACGTGTTCGCCTCCACAGAAGTGGGACAATGCGCGATGATAACGGCGAAAAAACGTCGAGCAGCCGATTGTAGTGATCTTTGTGCGGGACACTAAGATCGGTACCATATTAATTATTTAACGACGTAGCACGATGTATGTTATCTTGAGACGTTGGGTTGAGAGAGATAGGTAGGTGAATAATTAAACACTGGTATATTAAACTTATAAACTTACTGTTTTTATTAATTTATTACAATAAATTAATAAACAGTTAAAAACACAAAAAATTAAAATAACAAGTTATTCTGGGCTAAGAATTATATACTCGCGGCGATGTGGCTGTAACAAAATTCACGACGAGCAATAATTTATTAATGGCCAGTATAACACTGTCCATTAGAACTATCTATCTACATCTGAATAATGCTAAATGCTCAACCCGTATTTATACGGGTTCCAATGACGTAAAAGTGGCCTATTTCTAATATTACTTTATTTTACTGTTTATTTATTATTATTATGTATAAAGAAAGAAGAAACGGACGAATTGGAAATAAAATAAATAAATAAAATTAAATCATTGCCGTCGTAACTAGTTCCGGTTCGCGTTTGTAGTCGGTTCACATTTGCGCGTGCGGTGTTGCCATGACGTGCTTACCTCCATGGATGCAGGATAACGCGAGACGTAACTTACGATGATAACGTGAGAAAACGCCGAGTAGCCGTCGGCAGCCGATCGATTGATTGGTCGCAAAAACGAAACAACGGCGTCGACCTGAGAGGAGGAACACGCAACGGACGAATTGAAAATAAAAAAAAAAATATAAACAACAAATCGTTGCCGTCAACGTGATTGTTCGCACAGTGTACGTCTCCTTCGTAACTAGTCCCGATCCGCGTTTCTGAATTTCTGTCGATCGTCTCCGTTCAGCGGGTACGCGCCGTGCCGTAACTATTATTTTTTTTTTCTTCGCCCCGTTCGCAGTTGTTTCGTTACTTGTTCAAGCCAGTTAGCCGTCGTTTCGCTCGCCCTCCGTCCATCATGATCGGCGGACTCTTCATGTACAACCACAAAGGCGAGGTGCTCATATCGCGCGTGTACCGTGACGACATCGGCCGCAACGCCGTGGATGCGTTCCGTGTGAATGTCATACACGCGCGTCAGCAGGTCCGCTCTCCCGTCACAAACATCGCGCGCACCTCGTTCTTCCACATCCGCCGCGCCAACATCTGGCTGGCCGCCGTCACCAAGCAAAACGTCAACGGCGCCATGGTGTTCGAGTTCCTCATCCGGTTCACGCAGGTCATGCAATCGTACTTCGGCAAGATCAATGAGGAGAACATCAAGAACAACTTTGTGCTCATCTACGAGCTGCTGGACGAAATACTGGACTTTGGCTACCCGCAGAACTGCGATACGGGTGTGCTCAAGACGTTCATCACGCAGACGGGCGTCAAGTCGCAGAGCAAGGAGGAGCAAATGCAGATCACGTCCCAGGTCACTGGCCAGATCGGCTGGCGCCGCGAGGGCATCAAGTACAGACGCAACGAACTGTTCCTCGACGTACTCGAGTATGTTAACCTACTCATGTCGCCTCAAGGTCAAGTGTTGTCAGCTCATGTGGCCGGCCGTATACTCATGAAATCCTACCTAAGCGGCATGCCTGAATGCAAGTTTGGCATTAACGATAAAATAGTCATGGAATCCAAGGGCACCAAGATAATGGACGATACAGGTTCAAGAACGGCTTCCGGAAAACCTGTTGTTGTCATCGATGACTGTCAATTCCATCAATGCGTAAAACTTTCAAAGTTCGAAACTGAACATTCCATTAGCTTCATTCCACCTGATGGTGAATTCGAACTGATGCGTTACCGTACTACCAAAGACATATCACTGCCATTCAGAGTTATACCTCTTGTGCGTGAAGTAGGTCGTACACGTATGGAAGTTAAAGCCGTTTTAAAATCCAATTTCAAGCCATCATTGCTAGGTCAGAAAATCGAAGTGAAAATACCAACCCCTTTAAACACTGCTGGTGTCCAATTGTTGTGTTTGAAAGGCAAAGCCAAGTACAAGGCTTCAGATAATGCGATTGTGTGGAAAATTAAAAGAATGGCAGGTATGAAAGAAACACAATTATCAGCTGAAATTGATCTTTTGGAGACTGACACTAAAAAGAAATGGACTAGACCTCCTATATCCATGAATTTTGAGGTACCATTTGCACCATCTGGATTCAAAGTTAGGTATTTAAAAGTATTCGAACCAAAATTGAATTATTCTGATCATGATGTTGTCAAATGGGTTCGTTATATTGGGCGCAGTGGATTATATGAAACTAGATGTTAAGCGATTAATACTATTATATTTATTTAACCATTTTCCAATTTACCACTATTATTTACATAACCAAAACTCTAAAATTTAATATTAATTGTAATACGAGTTATTATATAATTAATTTATCGAATACATTCTGATAAATACATTTATTGTTATCTAGGTCAGTTATTTATTTTTATTTTTTATGATATATAATAAAAAACAATTTCATATAATTTACTGTCATATGATGAATATTGTGGCCACATAATTTTTTATTATTCTACCTATTATATAATTAAAAATGTATTATTTTATTATTATTTTTTTTTACTTATTTTGATCTGCGTTGTATTTTAGTAGGTTATTTTTGTTTGTAATGCACTAATAAGTCAAAACATATAGATATTACAATAGATAAATTATAAAATATAACTTATTGGTTCATTGTTATAGTATTGTAATAATAACGATTCTATTTAGATGTATAGTGCTTTATATTATAATATTATATCATGACAATAACACTGTGTTGTTATTTATTTATTTATTATACTTCTGTTTGATATATAAATTGTGGTTATTGCCACTATGTTGGTGTTGATAAAAAACAATCTGAACCAACAGGAAATAATATATTGCTGCCACTTTATGGTATTTAATTAAATTTAAATTAAATTAATTGAATTTAATAAAATTAAATCATATTTATTTTTATTGTTATAAGTTGGTATAAATTTTGAAATTCCATATGTTACCTACTAATTATTAAAAATTATAATCTTTTATATCTAGTATAATGTGTTTAGAGAATATTAGCCAAAGTAATTGTAGTTAATAGTGTATAACAATCAAAAAGTGAAATTTAGATTTTTGCATAAATGTATTCAATCAATGAAGCTTATTATAGGGATAAAATATATGGAAGATTTGTCAATCACATAATTCTTTGGAATGAGAAATATGTGTTTTCTATCTTAGAATATATTTTGGTAATATGAGAATGTAACTATTTTTCTTACTCAAGAATAAATTATTTTCTGTGAAAATAAATCTATTTATTAGTATTTAGGGTACATTTTTATTGTTGTTGATGAGTATATTTACCAGTTTTTAACAGGGGCAAAATGGGAACAAAATTCAAACCGGAAAATTTAAATTTATCCAGGCCATCTACCATTTACCAATTAAATCTCCAAAAAAAATTTTCTTCCTACGCTCGCTCAAATGATACATTTCTATTTGCTTATTTCAATAGAATTATAAAAATACATTTCATTTTATTTATAATAATATTTATACTTTCAACATAATAAAACTATAAAAGGACAATCACTATTTTGCTATTTTGTTAGACTTATAATATATTGTATTAATATACCACTAATACAGACAAAATTTAATTAGTGTAGTTGAAACTTGAAATAAACGCAAAATTTATAATTATATATATATATATTGTGTTTTAATAGTTCATGTGTAGTTATTAGTAACAAATGTATTTATAATAAAGAAAAATATTAATTATAATGTATAATAAACAATACCTATAATAAATTATTAAAAATTATATAATAAGAAATATTTATAAATTTATAACAATAATTTAGATAGAAGCTTAAATTTTTCACCAACTGCATTTACTATTGTATTGTTATCTATTTCTAGCAGAATTGTATTCTTAATGGCCATCAGCATAAAAGACTCAAGTCTTAAAGGTTGAAAATGACCTTTCACAAGTCACTTGAGTAACAGGAAGGGTTAAAATGTACTGATATGCTATAGTTAATGTAGAGTAAGTACTTGCAAATAAATTATATTTAACTAATATAATATAACAACATATTACACCATTTTTACAAGACTTATTACAAGGTTTCATAACATCCATAATCTCTAGGTTTTCATTTTCAGAGTCACTTATATATGACTCTTCATTATAGTCCTCATCAACCGGTTTTTTTTACAAAATCAGAAGTTCACGCGTTCAATACGATTTACTATGAACATAATATTACAATTTAAGGCTAACAATTTTTTTTTTTATATAATATAAAATAATCTTAAAATCTATCCTAAACTCCTAAACTTTCAATTCATCTTATGTATTCCACTCAACTCCAGTATCAGCTTATTTTTAAATTAAAAATGATCCCTACCATATATAGAACATTTTACATGTTACAGTGATAAATGGGGGGCTTCACCCCTCACTGAATACTAACTCTATCAACGTTTTTAAAAAAAAAAAATCTTTATACGAAAAATTTTTAAACTGCGTGTGACTAACCGATGATTTCACGTAATAAAATAATATATAGATTATTTTAAATCCCTTCGACAAAATAAATTGTGTTGTATTTCTCAATTGGACATATTTGTCAAGTTAACTGCACATTTTATATTTCCTAATGCACAATTAGTGTCTTACTGCACCTTACAATAAAGCCTGCTATACAGTAAATACTTATAAATTTTATAAACACTTATAAATATTTATAATTATATTTATGGTACGCAATATTGTTTCCTAAGCACTTATAGTTAAATATAGAAAAATACTAAGCCTCAAAATTATATAAATTAAAAATAATTAGGTAATCCACTTACTTTCAGCATTTGGATCTCCGACTAACAATTGACCATCTTTGCTATCATTCACCTCAGTAGGTGTACTTTTGCGAAAAAATGAATCTAATCGATTACATTTTTCAGCACATTTTGCAAATAATTTCTTGTTTTTTTTTATGATCTCTTTCTGCTCCTCCTTTCCTTTTTTTATCCATAATTTAATATTACCATATGACAAATAATTAAAAACTTAAATGTTCATTAAAAAGTTAAGTATAAAAACGTGAAAAACGCGGTTGAACGACACACTCATCACCAATGCACTAACATTAATAAGTATAACACATCATAGTTTTTACCACAACACATCTGCATGCGAAGATTTGTTTGGGTTTATTACAGATTTTATTTATAAAAATAACAATAATCAATGGGACTAATATTACAAAATGATGTATTATTTAGTTGTCATATTAAATATTATTCAATTAAAACAATTATATATCGCCGTATTGCTATATTCGTCGACACTCTAAAGATTTACAACTTTCAGATTTCAAAAGGCGTCTAATCAGTAATTTACAATTTCTCAGTAATTAGTTCTGCTAGATTGTATTCTAGAGTTGAGACAATACATACACTTCTCAGTATTCGGATGTTTGATTATAAAAATAACCAATCGACGTGTCGTCGATTTTGATTTTATTTGATGTCTATATTTAAGTAATATTTTGTGATTTTATATCTGATGGCCTATACTTTATCATATTCATACGGGACTATTAAAATGTTACATAATTGTATTAATAATTTACCAAGTACAATAGTCTCATAGTTTCAAAGTTTTAATACAAAAATATTGTTGACGCATTAATTAATTTTGTAAATAAAATCTAATATAATATGGTCCAGGCCTTTTGGAAATTTCCTAATTCCAGACCGACCAATCCATCCCTGGTTTTTAATATAAAATATTAATTATTATGAATAATTTAATGTTATGTTATTGCATATTAGCTCTAGTATCATCATATTTTAAACTCATTTATACCTTTTAATTATCATTCTCTTGTAATAAATTATTATATTTGAAGAGTTAAATTATAAAACAAAATTAATGAGGATAGTTAATGGAAATTCTTTTGCCGAACATAAAATATTTTAATGCTTTTATATTATTTTAAATTATATATATATTAGTGATGGGTCGAACCCTGATTTTTTAAATCGAACCGAACTTTAAATTATTTTTTCGAACTCGAACTTCAGTTCACTGAACCTTCATATTTTTTACCGAACCGAACCTATTATGATTTTAAGTCGAACTCGAACTCAATACTTTTTATCATATACATTGTACCTATCTACAAACTGGCCCGGCTCAAGTATTAAACAAACATAGGCGAAATTTAGTTTTTGCCGCCCTTTATGTGTAAATAATTTATCAAATATTTTTTTTTTATACATAAAAATTGTCCAGAAAAAATGCCGCACTAGGCGTGGGCCTATGTCACCTACCTCTTGAGCCGGGATAGCTACAAATTAAATCAATCATAATTATTAATTACTATTGTATTTTAAGTTTTCGTATTACCTAGTCTAAATAATTGTATTATTTACAATTCATTTAAATTTTAGATAATTTCTTATTATTATTATTATTTTTCAAAACCAGTATTGTGCTCTCTCTCGTGTTGTCTTGTAGCTTATAAAATATTCATTGAGTATTGAGTGTAATATGATAATACAATCAGTACATTTTAATAATATATAAAAAAAATGGTAATTATAACTATAATTCACAAATATAGAATGATTAGTAAAATTTATAATGTAATGCCGGTTTTCCACTAAACGGACAGTTGTGTTTATGTTGTGTCTGAGTCTTCTACAACCTGATAAACAAAAACAAAACTGAAACAAAACCAAAACTTTTGTTTCCATCAAACGGGCTACATTTTGTTCGAGTTTGGTTTTTGTATTCGATCCTTTTCCACTGGTTGTTACGAGTTTTTATTTATTATTATTATTATTTAATTATTAAGCATACTATATATGTAATAATATATATGTTACCAAAAAAGATGACAATCAGTCCGTGTTGACAATGACTAGTCAATAACGATAATGTCAGATTTAGTAAGGAATTAATGTCAATACCTAGTCATTGATAACAGTTCCTCATAAAAGAAGACATTGATAATAACATTAAAAATTAATTTAATATATTTTAATACTTATTAGCTTTTTAGGACAAATCATAATCTTAATCTTTATTGTTACGTGGTAAATTACTATGACACTTGGAATTATATAATCTTGTACAGTTTGTACCCAAACTGTGCTCCGCGAAGTCTTTGGTGTTCGGCAATGGTTTACCTAGGGCTCCATTCGTAACACCACAAAAAATTTAAAAAAATGTTCGTCATTTAAAATTAATATATATTTCATGAAGACTTGAATATTCCATAATCAGATCGATCACCGATAAAGCGGTGTTGATATTTGTTTGAATACGGATTTATAACATTGCCTA